AACCAGCCAGATACAAATGGTATAGCCAAAGAGATTATATTATAAGTTTATACATACTATTTGCGAAAAGAGTTTTTCCTCAACGTAATATTAAAAAAAATGCTTAGTTACCTTTCCACCAACTTTGAATTCATTATTCATGAAATGAAATCGAAGCACTCAAATAGTCTTCATTCTACTGTAAGCCCCTATTACGTGGATTGAACGAAAAAATAAAAAATTGACGGTAGCCTGGACTAAAATTACATACGCAAAACATCTCAGCCCGTCCCTGGACTACAAAGCTATGGACATGTTTAAAGTGTTTGAAACGTCGGCATGTAATGCAGCATTTAAACCGCGTAAAAATTCTTAAATTAGATTTATAAAACAATTGATAACTAAAATTAAAATTTAGTTCGCATCAATATCGAATTTGACAGACTACTAGGGCATGACATTCATGTTGGTAAACGGTCGATGATATTACCCGACAAATAACTAAATACTACTAATATGAATACAGATTCTTTCAATACTATAAATGCAGAATAAACCGAAAAAGTGGTAATATGTGAATAGCACATCTATATTTGGGAGGATATTTACTAAGCGCGCTAAATGACGTTGCAGTAAAAATGTTCGTATAATAAACATCGTTATAAGTAAATTTGAGTAATTCATCTAATACTGATGAATTTTTCGTGAGTTGTTCCGCTTACAACGAATGTTCCTGGCCTAAAAAATAATTTTTAATTGTACGTTTGTCCTCTACGTTTATTTAAAAAAAAATACAAGAGTATTGCTACGCATTTCAGACGAACGAACTAGAGAAATAACTTTTTTACGTTAAATAACTTTATAATATATACGTTATTTCTCTACTCTGTGGTAGTAGCTAGTATTTTGTTAAATGAACATATTTCACTAAAAGACGAATTAAGACATTTATTATTTTATTTTATATGAGACATGAAAAAGTAGAACTATAAAAAATATTATTCATTGACACCAATAACACTATTACGTAATGACTCACAATACAACAACTGTATTTCTGATAATTCAATGTTTTAACAAAAGAATTAGAACTTTCGATTGAGACGTGGAAATGTGGTCGTCAAATATATTTTCTAAATTCTTTCATATACGCACGCTTCTAAAAGACTGAACTGTGTGTTATATTGTATGTGATAAACGAGCAAGCGGCTCAAATGCTGTTAACCGGTCACTTTTTTCTATGACATTTGCAACGACAAAGTTGCGAAAGTAGCCGGCCTTTAAGAAGAGTAGGGTCTCATCTTAAAGTACTATTGACGTATCGGTACATAAACACCACTGGTACGAAAGAGTATCTATCGAGACTAAATCTGTGAAAGAATAAATAAACAATTAAATTAACGTTAGGTCGTCGGCAAAGTCTTAGTTGAGCATCGTTATTCGATATTAATTCTAACCTCCATATATAAAGGCAGTGACTGGACTTATTCTATCGACAATAAAAACAATACACCATAACAGGGGGCAAGCCAATGACCGTGCTATTAGTTCCACGCTAAGTAACACAACACTACGGCATGTTACTGTGGGAAAATATCGAAGGAATCTGCGCCTACAATCACTTATCATCAGTTTCAACTTTCCATTAAAACGAACAATATTAAGTAAGCTTTCTGGTCTCCGTTGAACTTTCAGCATTATTTTCTAAAGTTCAAACCGTATCGTAAGACATTTACGTGTATTACATACTATTTTAAATATTGACCGATTTCTTTCGTGTACCAGGCAAAGAACAAGCTATGTCTCTTAATACTGTGGAAAAAAGATTTTGAAATATTTCGTCTCGTATTTTAATGACTACGAAGTAAAACAATAGATAGTTGCCCGTCCGTTATCTTTCTCAAAGCAAAAAGATTAGTTTCCTAAGTAACCAAACGGTCGACCTTACGGGATATAAATTAAAACTAAAAACCGTCTACTTTCCAAACAAGTTTATCTCGGTCGGTCTTTGTTCTTTAACCGACGAATGTCGAATAGTATTTCACAAAAGCATCACTTATTATAATTTTTATGTAGCGACAACATACAGCATAAGCTTACCATAAACTTTACTTCAGTCAAATTATCCGGTTTTTAAAACACTTTTGCAACAGTAAAACATCCTTTCGCACACACTAAACTGCTCCAAAAACTTTTTGGAATTGTAATAGACACATGTCATAAAGTTGGCCTTTGAACAGTCTCTGAACTTTACACATAATTGGATTAACTATTTTAATGGATTAATTTAAATACTCTTTCTATTTCGTCATAGTAAATCATGTTTCCGTTAGATAAACTTCTACACAGCAACAGAGCAACCGCGTTACTCAACGTCGCGTTTCGACTGGATCTGGATGGGAGTCAAGTCCAAGATATTTTTACCTGTGAGAGCAAAAAAAGTTTTGTCCATATACTGACTTAGCAGGGCCCTCATCAGTTTTAGCACTTAAGCCCTACGCTTTAAGCTCAATTTCAAACATCAAACTTTATTGAATGTGTGTGTTCTTTAGTGCAAATCGGCCGACAAATAAGAACATTAACTAGTTGAAAATAAAGTCCACTATACAATACTGTATATGAAAGCTCAAACCTTCGGATTGAGCGTTATAGGTATATTGTGAGCAGTTGTTCGCAATCGGTGGTTCCAAAACTTAACGAGACTTTCGAAATGATTGAGATAATAGTTTCATATCAATATTTCAAGCTTAAATAAGTGTATTTATATTTATTTACAGCTAAAATACATAAAATGAAAATTTAATTAATGGATGACTAATGTTTTCAAAAGCAAAAAAAAATTATTTGAGCAAATGTAGTTACTTGCAAAATACCAAATCATTTTTTTTTTCGCCACTTACGTAGAAGTTCACTTTACCACGTATTGGGCAATATTCATAGTTAACTATTATTGCATTTGTTTTATTTTTATTATTAACTAGCCGCCCGGACAGACTTCGTTCCGTCGTTTTTTTTTGTTTTTTGGACCTCGATTTTGGAAGATATAAAAATAAATAAACCGAATTGGTCCAGCCATTCTGGAGTTATGTGCTTACCAACATTCATTTTTATTTATATAATAGACGTATATAAATTCTCTATATGTCTATATCCAATGTCATTCAAAGATCAATATTCAACAAATTAGGTAATTCTCAAAGTGTAACAAAAATATTTGCAGAGCGTAATCTTAGGGTAAAAGAACCTCTTGCTTCCTTAATTACCAGCAACGCTTTTTCTTCTGGTGTTTTGCAAACGCCAGTGGCAATCGTCATTAGGTACTTACCATAAGGTGTCCCGCAACTCATTTACCACTTTTAGAGAGATGACATAGCGAAGTAATTATTTTTATTTTCTTGTTCTTCTATGAACTGCCTTCAACTTATCTTGCGGTATATGAATGTAATGATATGAATGACTAACATCGTAATAATGGTCATGACAAAAGCAAGTTTTAAAAATCAACAACAATATAGTTAAATTGTTTTAGCGAATGGGCAAGTAATAAAAAAAATATTTGACATTACAATAATTCAAGTTAAAACTTTGGAAAGCACTTGCCAGGACCCGTAGTTTCAAACAGGTTTGTGTGTAGAAATAATAAAATAACAAGCCCCAATATGATATGAATTAACTCATTTTGGATTGTTATCTATCATGTTGCCGAAATTTAGTCTGAGAAATACGCAAGAGCGAATTTGAGTATATATTTATTCTGGGATTATTAAAATAAATATATAAAATATATTTATTTTAATAGTTTACAAAAGAAGACGCCTAATCGAGTTTTTAGTGTATCTTACACTAAAAACTCGATCAGGAACCTTAACTCTGCATATCTTACGTGTTCACGTGCGTGAATGTCAATTTTAGTTCAATAAAATTGTAGAAAATGTGAAATTTAATTATAATTCAATTTGGTTATTATCGAACATTAATTAATTTTATTTTTAGTACTAGTCACGCTACTAGATCTCTGCTTTTCAAATAGTAATTGCAAAATTTTATTTGACAGTTTGTTTGGCCTAGAAGCACACTAGATGGGGCCAAGCCGCCAAGCATTGCTAAAAGACGTCGACTGTCGAGATTTCCGCGCGTTTATGATATCATGATATGGACCGCTTATCTTAGTGGTTAGACCGCCAGGGCGGGTTAGGGAAAGTGCAGGTTCGTTCGAACCGCATAGCAGCGAAAAATTTTTCGACACTATGTATACATTTAATAATTGAATTTAACATATTCTGCATTTCTCGCAAATATATAAGATACGTACAAAATTTGAGTACTTAGTGTAATATTATAAAACTATATTTACGAGTAGATTATTAGACTACATTGTTTGGAATTCCCTAGTCCCCACAGACACAGAAGACAACAAACGAACAGGTAGTTCATCTGATGTCAAGTGATATCCGCTGCCCATGGAAATTTGCGACATCTGTAGAGTTGGAAATGCGTTTCAAACCTTTTAATAAAGTGGACTCCGGTTAACTCACTCACCAAACGAAATACGGAAGTATAGCATTTCCACTTCTCACCAGCCCTTTTTTTTGATGTTGTGTTAATTGGGCAAACAACATGCAGCCTAAGTTCCTTTTTAGAAATATAGCTTTTCATCATTGAAATTGATTTAATAGTTGCAGAAATTACCTAATACATATTTTTTTTCTTTGCAATATTAATAACTATCTATAGAAATGCAATGACTGACAAAGTAATCAATTTAGGGATTTTTTATTAGGCTTTTTTTTAAATATCCTATTTAAAACCACTTAGCATAAGCTCAAATAACATAAGTAAAATGAACACTTAAATTATTATTGATTTATTCAACTTTCTACTTACAACTAAAATTGTTACAAAGCCTATGATGGATTTACAGGGATGGGTAATCTTATCTAAAACTTTTTTAAACAATTTAAAAAGCCATTTATGCAAGTAAACTTTTAAGGAGATTTGATATTGCCAAAGATATTGGATCAGACGCTGCTTTTACGTGGGGGAATCCATGGTTCAATCTTGGACTTTGTTGTGCTGTATGGAGTAAATTGCCCGGTGGTTCCAGACATGTTTTCATTGTAATCAAGCATCCATTTGTACTTGGGCCGGTTTGGATCCTAAAAGGAAAGGCATTTCATGAACATTTTTATTATTCAAGTCCAAATATTAAATTCAATTTAGACCTGTTTTAAGGACTTATTTTATATTTTTTTAATTCACTCCAATGAACCAAACGTTTGAAGTATAACCAAAATTAAGAGATGAAGTAGAAGCATAATTATACGCACCTCATGTGGGGGCAGATCAGTTTTGTAATGAAGCCAGCCAAACCATTCAGCGGGAACCTTAAAATATACAATAATAAACAGTATATAAATATATTGACTATTAACATACTTGAAATATTTGTGAGATCTTGAAATCCTTAAAAAAAAGTATAAACAAATATCAAAAATAGTTAAGTAATAGAAAAATACTCGTAATATATTTATATTTCTGTCTGTAATAATATTTATAAGACAGAAATTTAACACATTTTGTTATAAAAGTATAGAATGATTAAAGAACTTACCTGACTCCCATCATAATCCATGTTAAACTTGTCAGAATATTCTACCCAACGGTTACGGCTGAAGAAATAACGCGGATTCTCAAAATACTTGTTACCAAATTTATCCTCTCCAACTAGCACACCATCTTTTAATTCATCTTGTCTAAAAAAGTATGACATTATTTTTTACTTAACTTTATACAATTCTATTGAATTTTTAAGAAATATGTGCTCTTATATCACTTTCGCTCAGAATTATTAATTTGAAAGAGCGTGATTCAATTTTTAGTAACAAATAAGTGGTTTGCGAATAGTTAATGATATTTGTAACATGAACTTCACAGTAAAATCCAGATAATTGATGCTTTTTATATATATATATATATATATATCGTTTTAACTCATAACCAACTACTTAGTCTACTTAACCACGTATTATTATTTGAGTTAATAATGGAAATTGCAAAACTAATCTTATTTTTGATATTAAATGATTTATAACCTTTATATTTAATATTAAAAACAAACATTTTTTACTCAGTAATATGAAGTAAAGATCAGAGAATTTTAATAAAGACATCTTACATAGTACTTTACCAAGAAAAATAAAATAGCCCTAATAACCTAAGAACAAATTACATAATTAATTTTTACTATTACCTGTATAACTTATACAAAGAACCTCTTATTCCACCATTTTGTTTGATAATATTAAAAAATGTGGCTAACTTATCAAGAGCAAGATATTTTCCTAAAGACATTTTATGAAATTTTGGTTTTAGTCCAAGAATATTTTAAAATATAAATAAGCAAATTTTGACAGCTGTCAAAATGAAGTATAGAAAATCAAAGTTTTTAGTTTCATTAATAGACAATCTTTATTGATCTAATATTTACAAGTTTCATTTGATTGTTAAGGTCATGGTACAGTTGAAAAAAAGAGAAATAAATAAAAAAAGAGCACCATGAGTCAAGGATAAATATTATTTCGTTGGCCTTTCAACGTTTACGTAAACTTATCCGCTCCCACTTATATAAGAAAAAATGAGAATAGGCCAAACCCCCCAAGTTTAATATTTATTACAGTTTGGTTAAATGTTTATTTTTCAAAATAACAATTTTAGAAATGTTTAATATATTTTTTTTTTTTTGTAGTAGTTTTTATTTTGTGAGTAATAAACTTTGGTTGTAATCATTCATATTTACCTACATAATACTTTTGTATGAATAATGAGAAAAACGCTGCTGCTATAGGTAGGAAGTGTAAAAACGCAAACGCATAAAGCTGAATCTGCCCTGCTCCCTACACTTTTCTTATAGTTGACGAAGAGAAATTATCATGTCAACGGTTGACCTCAGAAACCTAAAGCCTCGGGATACATGCAGTAGGCGAGTTTTTGTATCTTGCCTAGGATGGTTCTAGCAAAAGCCGGCAATACTGAAATAGGATATTCCGCAGTAGCAGTTACAGTCGCCGCGATCATCTTTTCCCTTGCAAACGGTTACGATATTGGCATCGCGCAGCCCGTTTCCCAACATTTGGCTAGATCAATGATTCTCAACCTTTTTTTTGTTGCGGCACATATTTAACGATTTCAAAATTTGGCGGCACACAAAGAAAAAGATACAAATTATTTACTTACTACAACACACTGCATAAATAGTTTATGACAAAAAATTTAAATATACGAAATAAACTAATATATACTACAATAATAACTAAACGTTTATTAAAGGATTAATTACAAGCTAATAATAAAAATATTTTTAAAGCGAAATTTGAGCTTAATGTTTTTTGATAATTTCATTTATATTTAGTCGTAAAAATGACAATGCTACTCTCATATCGTCTTCTACATGTAACAATCTTGATCTTTTTTTAGTTTTAATGTTGCCTAATGCCAAAAAATATTTTTTTTAAATGATATAATTTAATAATATTAACATTATTATATATTTGAAAAATTTGGCGGCACACTTTTGAAATTTGGCGGCACACAAAAGTGGTTGAGAGTCACTGGGCTAGATCATTGTGAAGGACTGGAAGAAGGCACTTGAACTAAACAATCTCGATGTACACCTCGTCTTTGCCCGGACTTTTTCCACATTTAACCTGGTCGACGGCCTGTTAGAGCTTCTCTATGATGAGTGATGATGCGGCGCTTAATTCGTGCCAAGCCTCGGGACAAGTTCCACTGCTTCTGTCTTGATGTCCACAGGGTGTTAATAAAAGCTGGTGTAATGTTCCACCCATCTAGTCATTTGTCGGCTCCTATTTGTGATGGCAGAGCCGTTGTAAGTTTAAGCGCCACAAAGAGGATCTCTTTGTCAACAGCGCACTCTTTGCTGATGACACTGCCTGGGCAATGAAGCCCACGATCAAGGCGAACTCCAGAGCCTAATGGACAAATTTGCCAGAACATGCGATTTATTCTCTATGTCTGTCAACGCGTGGAAGAATGAAAACTCAGAGCCTCACGAGCGAGCCGCCAACTCTGAACAACGAGAGGACTTCATGTGCCGAGAGTGCGGCGGTGGGGAACTAATCAGCTGATTAGTTAATTTCTACGATGTTCAATGTTTCAGAAACATGTTTCAGATGTATAAAGTAAACGTGTAATACAATTTTAAAAAGATATCTTTATATGTGTGTTGGTTTATGGTCGCGTTAGTAGCGGTACCAATAATGTTTAATAATATAGATTTACGCATGTCCATACTAGGTGGCGTTTGCAAATTCTTTCGCTTTATGTTATATAACATATGTAAGTGAATGAGACAGATGAATTAGAACGTACGATACGGAAAGAGATTGCAGTCTATAGAATTACACCACTTGGTGTAATTTGAGTGCCTCAGTTTCGGTGCACTAGTGTCATATCTATTGTATATAATATCAGTAAGCGGCACTATATATACAGGTATACACATTGATCAATTTTCTACAAATATTTTAATTTATTATTATATAAAAATATTAATTTTTCAATGAAAACCGAATATTGGTTTTCATTGAAAAATTAATATTTTTAATAGATTGTTTAAGTTTTTAACTTTAAAATGAATTTTATTTTATTCACTTTAAACATAGAATATTTATTGTATTGAACAAAATATTATTTAGTTTATAAAATTATTCAAAAACGAAATGAAATTACGAAATAATTAAGAACTACATAATTATTTAATATATATATATGGGTGAATATACAAAACTTGGGTAACTCGATGTCATCAGCCAATATATACAAAGTCTTATTATATATTGTTGAGATTCCAATTTATTTTAAAACAATGTAAAGTCCTTTATTTGGTCACTCAATTTCAGCTCTTCATTTTAAATACAAGTTAATAAAAAAACACAATTAATGCTTAAAATGTCAGTCCTTTGGCATGTCACAATCCCGAAAACCAACAGTCAAGTGACTATCTATTAAACATTATCATTGATTTAAGAAAACTTACTAATTTACTACAATCTGTGATGTACATAGTAATTTACTTTATTTAAAAAACAATAAGAAACTTTGTGTTTTGTTTTATTCGTCAGTCCGTTGTGTATTGTTTAAAATTGAAAATCGGGCCAAATATTACCGACTCAACATCAAATTCCTGTTTGAGTTTTAATGTTGGTAATGAAGTTTGTTGCGGATCACACAATTTGACGGCCGTCATAACTGTACCCACTTACCCAGTGCTTGGGTTGTCTTTGTCGTCTATACACGTGGTAAGTCAGTCAAAATGTCAGTCCCATGGTGAGACGTTATTTTCTTGTTAATTAATTCTGGGGTTTATTATCATTTATATATAGTTAACTATAATTTGTTAAAATGTAGTTTGTTGATATTCGAAATTACCAAAAAAAATATTAGTACAGATTATAACCCAAAATTATGTCTTTTTCGTCAGTCCGTTGGCGTCAGTCCTTTGCCAGGTATCGCGGCAGAAGACTGACGTGTTTCCATGGTACTGATGTTTTTTTGTTTAAGACCACTTTTATCTTAATTGCTACTGTGTATAAGCATTTCTATTTTATACTTCAGTTTAAAACATCATGCGGCATGCTAAAATAAATTGACTAGTGAAGAAATACTAAAAAAAAAGAGAGAAGCTGAAAAGGCTACCGACCCCAATAAATTAGCGGAATACAAAGAAAAACAAAAACTTAGGTACTCAAAGAAAAAAGAGAAAGGACAAAGAAAAAATGTTGAAGACATGACACCACGAGAGCAACGAATAACTAGAAAAAAATGGAAAAATTATACATAAAACTACAGGCAAAGGAAATAGCTATTAAAACAAACCACTAATAATTTTATAAACCAGAAGACTCCTCCACCAACTGACGACAAAATACAACCCATATAGTTAATGAAGAAATCAGACCTGTTATAAACGAAGACCAAAGAGCAAAAGAAGCTAAAAAGAGAAGTGAAAGACAGAGAAAAAATAGAAACAGGGAAATAAAAAAGATAAAGGATATAGTTTCGAACCTTAAAACTAAACCAAAATACTCAGCGCCAAAAATATAAACAAGTCAAAAAACAGCTAAAAGAATAGTAAAATCTTTTAAAACGCCACAGACTAGAATTGAATACATGAGTGAAGATATAACTAAAAAGAAAGAATTAGTGAAGAAGGCCCATTTTGGGGAAGTTATTAAAACAATTGGAAGAAAACTACACTAAACTAAAAAATTGTAAAGAAAGAAAAAAATTTAACCAAGTTACATCTGGAAACTAACGACCCGCACCGGCTTCGCACTGGTGCAATGTATTAAACATACAAACCTTCCTCTTGATCACTCTATCTAGTAAAAAAACCGCATCAAGATCCGTTGCGTAGTTTTAAAGATCTAAGCTTACTTAGATGTAGACAGACAGACGGTACGACTTGTTTTATACTATGTAGTGATTCGATAACTCAAAACCAATATTAATAAAACAGTGGGTGAGTATGAAAGAGTCCATAACAGATCTGAAAACGAAATATTTTTGATGGAATGTAAAATACAAACACAGGAAATGACACCTAGAAATGCCATTACAAAACTTGAAAATGATATGGTTAAAATTTTCCGCCATTCTTTTAACGTATTACACCAGTACAATGCCATTAAGCAATTGAAAGTCTTTATCTGAAACGGATGCCGTTGTACATATGGATTTTTCCTAAAATTTTTGTACTAAATATAACCAAGAAATTCAATTCTTCCATTTCGGCGGTTCGCGAACCCAAATTTCATTGCATACTGTTGTAGTAAGTGTTGTTGTAAGTGAATAACGTTACGTTAAATGTCAAAATGCTGTTTTGAAAACTGAGATAGTATTTTCTCCCAGTATTACGTATTAATACTTATTATTAAGTGTTATTAAGTAATTTTAATACTTAAAAGACATGTGCTATTATTAAATCCTAAGAAATTTGTACAATTTTTTATTAAAAATCATTATAATTCTTACAAAACTGTGTATTTTATCAGTACTATGTTACCTACCCTCGTCAGTCTCCTGGCAGTCAAATTCTGAAAATTTTAAATATCTCAAAATCTACTCAAAAAAGTGACTGGCCCGATTTGGAACAATATATAAATTAGATTAGCCATCATATAAACCCGAATTTGTAGAAATTTGATTTAATAACTATACTTACCCAACTTTTGTATAATCACCTATATATATATATATATCTGTAACTGGCTATGAGAAAAAGAGAGAAAGAAAATGTGTTCGCACCTCTGTCTCTTGCCCCTATAGTAATATACGAAACATAACTCTCATTTACTATGTTCATTTTTTTTATGTGAAAAGCTGCCAAACGAGCAGAAGGTTCACCTGATGGTAAGAGAATACCGCCGCCCATGGATATCTGCTACACCCGAGGGTTACAGATGCGTCGACAACCTTTTTAAAATTGGGCTCCCGCTACCTCACTCATGTATAACTATGTCCCAATTAGTAAAAAAGAGAAATTCTGAAAAATTTATGATTTTAATTTATTCATAATTAAATAAAATATTATTGTCCTTGAATATTTTATTGGCAATTTTTGTTTTTCATAAGTTTTTAGTAGATACACTACTTGAATCATTTTGCTTTCTGGACATACTTTCTTCATTAGTTTTACTGGTAGTACTTACATCTGAAGTTATTTTTTTCTTTTTCTTTGAGACATTATGTTCAACTTCTGTATTATTTTCAATAGCAAAGTCAGAATTATTTTTCCTTTTTCTTTTCTTTTTTTTATAAAGCTTTGATATTTTAATTTGCGAGTTTTCCTCCGAACAATCAATTGAACCTTTTATAAATGTAGGTGTAACAGACACTTCATAGCATATTTCATCATGGATATTCTTTCTTATCTTTTTTTTATTTTTTTTCTCAACCTGTTCATTATTGAAAATCGTATTAATCTCTTCTTGTGAATCAACTTTTTTGAGCTCAACTTCTATCTTTTGATTAGATTTATGAGAGTAATCATTGTATTTCGCTTGATTTAAAAGCGTTTTCTCTTGTTGCTCTATTCGGGCTAATTTTCCAAGCGCTTTCAATCCATGTCGGGCACCCCTAAAACATTAACACTTAATAATCAAAGATAAAGACATCATTTGCTACATTAAAATTTGTAGAAAAAAGGACATTTTTTTTTTAACACTGTGGGAATCAAACCCCCCAGCATTTTACTATAGTTTGTATTAACTTGCAAATCTATATCATAACAAAGATTTCAAACAATAAAAAAAAATTGATGTAAGAGGAACTGAGTTTTATGGTTTTGCTATTTATTTATTATTTGGGAGGGTATTACATAATAATATACCAAGACATTATACAGGAAGGCTTTCTGAAAGGTGCTCAAATTTACACATCGTGTTATGAATGATCACGCGTAAAATAAAAGAGTTGCCCATAAATCACACACTTTTTGAGATAACTTAAAATGAATGTAATTAATTATTTACAATTGATTTTAAATATTTTATCTTTTTTTATATAACATTATTTATGTCTATTTAATTTTAAAAAAAATGGATACACTTAGAAAAGCCTCCCTGTATGAGACTAAAATGGTACTTCATTTCCTTCAGAATCAGACTTATTACAGCTTCACAATAATAACTTACTTATGTGCTGTTCTTCCTTCACAAGCAGCAAATAATTCCTCATCAGTGATTTTAACAATATCCTTTATAAGTCCTTCATCATCAGAATCAGACTTATTAACATTCTCAATTTTAGATCCACCATTACTTAAAATAGCACTTTTTACAAAATAATCACCATACTGTTTCTCTGAACTTTCACCTTTTGTTTTTTTCTTCATCTGCCATGCATTGTTTGTGATTTCAAAGTTTTTATCCTTACACTTAATTTTCTTTACTTTGCCATTAACTTCTTCCACCTTTAGGAGAAATAACAAATTTTAAATACATATGTCATTGAATCACTGAAATGTTTGTATGACATAAATTATGTGATTCTTTTTTAATTATGTATTTATAATTATACCCCAGACATAGTAAGAGAATTATTATCATTATACAACTGATATAGTATCATATCATATCAATTATTATTAATATATTATATTTTATATTAGGTATTTCTGAAATATTCAATATTACAACTTAAAATAATTATTATTGTCAGATCAAATAATATAGGTAAAAATTTCCATCAGTTTCTGGGTGTTTTTGATCAAACAAAAATTTTATTCGCTTAAGAAAAATCACTAATGAAATAATCAACAAGCAGAATTTGGCGAAACAACGCTTATAGTTTTAGAGAAAAAAAAATATTTGAAACTTGTTATTTTCTCTAAATAAATCCGCTATTTTGTGTTTGACATGTATAAATTTACGAATTCACACACTTTTCCAAATTATAACCTTTGCATTATTAAAAAAAGAGTCTTTAAAAATACTAAAAGTACTGTTACACTAAAGTTTTCTGGCTGGTTTTAAAAAAATAACCATGAAGGCTAAGGCGGGCCTTAACCTTCTAACCTAAACTATCCGAGTCAGATCGCTCTGTATTGGATCTGTCACTCTTTAAATTAAAAGAAAATTTTTTTCTCGAAAACTTTAAGCAACCGCCAAATTCTGCTTGGTGAATATTTTATTAATGACTTTTCTTTACCGAATAATTTTTTTTTACGTCGAAAAACACCTGGAAACTTAAAGAAACTAATATTAATATAAATAACATACCTCAACATTTTTAGCAGCTTTATTATATAAATTATTCCACCAATGCTCTGTAAAATCAGAAGCTAGATCATGACCCACACCAGTTACACTCCTCTTAATTTTTGGTTTTAGGGCTTCTGATATTCCATTTTCATTTTTTCCGAGACCTTTACCTAGGAAAACCCCACGCTATTGTTAATGTTAATGTTACATTTCGATTGGGGACCAAACTAGTTCCTATTTTTTAATGGTCTGCAACTAATCTGCAGCCCAATGTTGTAGATGTCCATGGGCAGTGTTATTTGGTAATCACTTTACTTCCAATGAATAACTTGTTTGCTTGCCAGCTTTTCAGATTAAAAACTTCAATATGTTCAAAATATGATAATACAAGAACATGTTATATTTAGCATTAAGCAAGATGATAAAGCACATAAATATGAATTAATTATCAAATATACCTGCTGTCCAACCATACTTTTCCAATTGTTTTCTTGCAAAATCCATAGTCGGAAATATATAAATTTATGTACAATACATATTTTGTAAAGTTTAAAATATCGTGGTAATATACTTAGCAATTTCTTTACAAATAATAAAAAATAAATGTAACCTTTAAAACCACAATCTCAAGCATGCTTCATGCTTGCTTGTCATTTGTCAATATTGTCATAATGTCTTATGTCATAAATTATTAATGTCATAATACCATAAACGTAGTGATTACATTCTCTATTAGAAGTAGGCGATACAAATCGTATCAGATATGAAAACTAGATATTAGTACAATATCTGAATATCGCTTACTGGCTCGTTCAATATCTATGTATTTTATAATATCTAATATTTCCGAAATCTGATGTACCGTGCTCGCTCGCTATACCGACACGAATCGCAATATCATACGCGTTTGCCACAATATCTGATTTTTAAACAGATTTCGAGAGACAAAGCGCGTGAAATACAAATACTCACTAGTTAGAGAGGGACGGCAAGCAATGCACGATATCAGATTTCAAGTGACAAAGCGCGTGAGATATAAATACTCACTAGTTAGAGCGGGACGGCAAGCAATGCACGATATCAGATTTTTAAACAGATTTTGAGCGACAAAGCGCGTGAGATACAAATATTACACTAGTTAGAGCAGTACGGCAAGCAAGGCACAATATCAGATTTTTAAACAGATATTATGAATAAGTTAAGTAATTTTGAATCTTAACACGATGCAAATAAGATCCGTTTTAATTAAATACTAATCATGGTATCAAAGATTACTACAACGATATTATTATATTTCTATTGCTTTGTTTAGCCTTGAGTCGTAACGGGCGACAAAGCGCGCAGTTAAGTAATTTTGAATCTTAACAGCATGGAAAAAAATCTCTGTTGCATTTAAATACGAATTACGGTATTAACGATATCTTTAAATTTTGTTTAGTCTTGAGCTGGATTGCATTGGTACTAAGTACGTAATAGTAAGGGATGCCAACTTACTACTTAAGAATTTTCTGCTTAAATTAAGGAAGAAAAATATAAATGGAAATTTTTTAGGAGGTAAATTTTTTGTGAATATTTTTATTAGTTAAATTTTATTCATATTTTTGGAAAAAAATAAAAGTACACAAAAAGAAAAATATAATTTAATAGTGTAGTGCTGCTTGGGTGGAAATCAGACCAAGGCTTATGTGCTTTGTGTGTATATTTTAAATTCTTCCGCCTTAGGTTATAATACTGAATGTATTATTTCTTACACAAATTATAAAGATATTGTCACTCATGATTGCGTGTTTTAAAAATATGTTAAAGTCAATTATTAAGCGATATATAAGATGTTAAAATAAATCATTTTTTTATTACTTCAATTTCTATTTTTAATGAAATTTTTAATTTTATCAGGTAATGTTTTAATTTTACCTTAATAGTATAAAAAAATCGTGATTTCAAATTCAGTAAGTTTTTTGAATTTAGTCAATTTTAGTGGGTTTTCGAATTTATTTAGAAGTATTCTTTTTGAACAGTTGGTTTCACTGGTAATAGCTTTAGTTATGTATAGGTATAATGATCGTCGAACAAGACTATCGACGAATAAAGTCAAACAGGTTACGTTCGTAAACGTGAATTTAAACCCGGAGGAATCTAAATAATTATTAACCCACACATCATTGTAAATAAGTTAAGTTTTAAATATCAGGAAAATTATGTACATAGAATGAATCAACTTTTAAATACTCTTTTTTTGTTTTTTTAGAATTCAAGGTGGATACGGGACCGTAAAATATCTTGATATTAAAATACATAGTTTCGAAATCTGATATTTGAAATCGATATCTGATTCAGATACGGTACTCAGAAAAAGCGATACGACCCATCTCTATAAATAATGTATAAAACGGCACCAGAATCTAAATCATTCACTACAAAGACATTTTTAAAAATTTGCGTGTGAATATTATAAAAAACGAAATAAAGTTCAGTACTTATTTTATTTACTTTTTCCAAAAATATCATCCAGCAAGCTTGTATCCAATAAGTTTTCTATACAATGTTATCAAATATAAAGTACATAAATGTCGTATACACTAGAAAATTGTAGTTGAAAAAAGCTCTCAAATGTAAAAACTGAAAATGATGTTCGGTAATGTATCAAAGATGGCGCTGTCTCACGAGGACACTGATATAACTATTCTCATTCTCAATAACATTAATAACGTACATAGAGTATAATAATTATATACTAAGATAATGTATATGGTAATGTACTCTTTAACTAAGGCCACGCCATGAATAGGCAGGTCCGTCCGGGGCAAAGATCTAATACTTACAAACGTTAGTAAGTGTAATGGCTTTGGTCCGGGAACGTACCAGGACCCCACAGAAGAACGGCGTGAAGTGGAAGTATTCTGCGTTTCGTCTGGTGAGTCCAAGGGCGGTGGTTGATCCACTGCGTACTGTCTTCTACTCTGTTTCTTCTGCATATTAATGACATTTTGCAAATCAGCAACATTCATTGTAATGCAGACGATAGCACTGTGGATGCATCCTACATTGGCTGTTCTAATATTTCTCAGGAACCACGTCTACGAGAGCCGGAACAAGCTAGTGTCTGAAGTCGAGACTTTGTTAATCAAAGTCTCAGACTGGGGTCGACTAAACTTAGTCCAATTCAAACCCAAAAAGACACAAGTATGCGCGTTAACCGCTAAAGCCTTCATTTGTCGTAACTAATCATTTTGAGAACACCCCTTACTGCCACCGCAAATATCGGAATATTTCGCGTCGAAATTTCGTGAAACTTCCAGTTTCGTCATTGGACATCACGCCCAAACCAATAATTTTTACCAGGCATTTCCTGTCTCGCGAACCACTCTGTGGAACCAGCTGCTGCCGTCGGTCTTTCCGAACCGCTACGACCTTCCTGGGATCCTTCAAGAAGAGCATTCTTTTTCATAAAGCATTTGTAATCCCTGCGGTGTTGCAGATGTTCGTGGGCGGTTGTGATTAATTACCATTTGGTGAGCCTCCTGTTCGTTTGAACTTTTCCTTAAAAAAAACAGGTGACCTGACAGCTTGCTATCTTCTCACTCAAAAAAAACTTTTTTGCAATTTTTAAGTGAAACTTCTTTAGATAATAGGATCCCTAGCTGATGGTAGCAACAACCCTCTTCTCTATTGAAATTAGGGATTTTTTTTTTAATTCGAATAGCCTCGCGAATCATCGTTGGGAGGAATCGGTGTTCTTTTGAAAGGATCTGTATCTGTCGTTTATCAAACCTGATATAATAGTTGGGGCGATTTAGAGTTTTTAAGTCAGCTATATGTTCCTTCACGCGGGATTGTATAGCTCTTTTAGTTTGACCTATAGCCCAAATTTATTGTCAAGCTTAGACACTCCTGGATCTTGCGGATAAGAATAGCGATTCCTCCCAACGATGATTCGCGAGGCTAATCAATTTTTACCATCGGTCAAGTGCAATTCAGAGATCTGAATTGCACTTGACCGATTGAAGAACACTTCCCCGTTCGAATTTCACTCCCAGCCACATTTAACCTCATACCTATCGTTTCCACAGTTTTATACTGCAGTAGCCCCAACTCGTTGTAAATCAAATCCCTTCGCACGAAGACCGCTTTAGCTCCGTACGCTACGCCTATCGCGCCGATATACGAAAAAGTTGGAGAACTACGAGAATACTGTACCAGGCCTATGTTTCGTCTCGTCCAAAAAGATGCCACGGATGTCATACATCTATTTCGAGGTTGTGGAGCCCGGCCGTCTTCGAACCCACACCACCGGGGTTTTAAAAAATTACCTTAAGCTGCTTGGCCATACCCATAACTCAGTGATGCGAGCTATCATCAAATTTATAAAATGCACCGAAATAAGTTTGGTGATAGTCTGCATCACTGTGTTTATAGGCATCCAGCTGCCATTGCAGCGAGAATGTCTAAAAACTGTTAAGCAATTAAACATCCCTCACAATGTTAGATAAGAATATCGAAATACAAATGGGTAAAGCTATAGATTAGCAGAAGTTCTAGTCTAATTCTAATATTTGACAATAGTTTGTTCTTTTTAAGAGTGATTGCTTACCAGTTAACAACCTTATGTAAATAGAAATTATTTATTTTTAAATATAATTTGAACAGTTACATAATAATTTGGTCCCATTTCAAAATAATTACTATCACAAATTGTACAGTTAACACTCATATTTTTATTAACATCCATTTTATTTATTTCCCTTGACTTGATTATCATCATTGAGGTCATCTACTGTAGACTCATTATTGCTGAAATATAAAATGTAAATGGGTTACATACTTAAAAATAACTTATTTAATAAAATTATTAAAAATTTCGCGAGACATTATTAATGAAATAATAAGACAGCTGAACTCACGTGATCCTAGTTACCCATCTTATGCCCTATCTTTTACTGCGAGGCTGTGGTACTTCCCTGGACGAGCCTGCCCATTAATGCAACAGCAGAAGAAGCTGTTGCATGCCCCTACCACAATATTGAAATGTTTGAATTGTCAATTTGTTTTTAGCAAACAATAATTGGTTTGTTATAAATATTATCATATACTATTACTATTAACTTATTAAACCTTGGAAAAATAACTTGCCTTGTATTTTCAGTTTGGACCTTAAACTTCTGAGCTAATACAACCAAAATACGATAGGTGTTCATTCTCAGTATGAAAGGGCATGATTTTGGCACATAAATATCCGAAAAACGCAAAATATTCATTGGGATTCAATCCTTTTTTGTGACCTTATTATTGCATATTTGATAAGTGGCCACTAGAGTTTCAATGACTTATTATACATTATGAAACAACTATGCTTTTATGACTATAATATTTATAAGTGATTTTCGTACAAAAAGTATACTCATTTCTTAACAGGTGTGAAATGATCATAATTAGGTTCTCTTTTTGACCTTTCCATGTATGGCATTCCATGACTTCCCTTGGATGAGTAATTTTCTAGCATTGGCTTAGATAACAATTCTTCTTTGAAATTCTTCAAGAAGTAAATCCAACATCTTATTGTTTCTTTCTCATTGGAATAACTAAAAAAATTATTAACGGTTAAATATTTAATGCAATCATGGTCCCAATATTTTTACCTTTAGATAATAGTAGAATAGGTGACATCCACAAACAATTAAGTGTAAATAATTTCAAACATTTTGTAAAAGCCACCTTAATGGAAAGGGCTTATTATAATGTCAAGGATTACATTGAGGACAAGGATGTGTGGAAAGACTCTTGCTCTGCACTTGCAAGTCCCCTGGCTCCTGCTAAATTATACTAAAATAATTGTGTGTATACTTAAATACTTAAAAAAAATATATAAATACTAAAAAAAAAATATAAATATTCATATATGACCACAGAGTTTCTTGCCGGTTCTTCTCTTGCAGGTCTAGTTTGGTCTAGTTTAGCACCGGTTCGGTGGCAGTTTTTGACGTTCAATAAGAGCTTAAAATAAGCCTATGTTGAATAAAGAAATTTTGACTTTGACTTTGACTTTATTACACAAGTCCATATTATATAACTGTTAAAGTAAAATTAACAGCCTATACAAGTCCCTTGCTCGACAAAGACCACCTCTGTACAGAGAATATCCACCAAGCGAACCCATTGCGGGTTGGTAGACTTCACATATCACAACATTAAATGCGAGCACCCAGACACTAAGCTTTCATAGCTCACATTTATATAACTGAAATCTATATCATTTTAATATTTATCAGTAATATATAATTTCATCAACAAAATTATACAGCAATGACAATGTAATAATCTTTTAAGCAATATGCTCTTACGATTATTACATTTTTAAATTTACTCAGGAGATAAATACTTACTCTTTTTTTATGTCAATATTGTCAATTTCTCTTATGTAGTAGTTAGGATGATCTTCAAGTATATCTAATTGGCCAAGCATCTTATTGTCAACTTCATACACTTCACCTAAAAATATAAGACTAAATAAATATATTTAGAATAGAAATGTCATTATCTAGTACTAGTAGTAAAATTAACCTTCAATGTGATAACCAACTCCTGGTTTAAACAATACAAATGGTATATTATATTTAGTGGCAATAATTAAGGGGTATTTAGTACTTGTCCTTCCAACAGCTATAAATTTGCTTTGCCCATTTTTAGGATCACTTATCCAGTGGTGGTTAGGTTCTTGTTTCTTTAGCGTGCCATACACAAATACATTGTGAAACATCTGCAAAAATAGTAATGCTTTTAGTAAAAAAAGTAAAAAATACCCTTCACTGTAAATATAATGTAGCATAACATACGCTTCTTAGAGGAAAATGTTGTTTTCCGCAGACCTTTAGCAAAGTTGCTTTTATCATACATATGATGATATTAATTTTGGCCAATTTAAAAAACCTTTATTGTTGTAACCTAAGCTTGTAATAATAAATTAATTAAACTAGTAAATTGCATCAGAAACGTTTTGATTGTTAAATTTTTGTTCTAGAATCTATACTTTAGAATGTTTTTGTTTTGATTTTGACTTTTCGTTCGTCTCGTCTTTGACGTTGTTGACGTTTATGTTGTTGTCACTGTTTCCGTAGTATTTACTTTACTCTATGCTAGTGATTGGAATCCCCGTTCCCGAAGGTTTTCACATAAATTATACCGCTTTGGGTATTTCCCAAGCATAATATACTTAATTAACTATATAGTATAGAATACTAACCAGTCTATTAGTATTCTATATAATATATACATATATAGCAAGCACTAAACAATGCGTTTAATTTAATAAAAATTGATTAAATCTCAATCCCGACGGCCTTGAGGGCCTTGACACTCAAGCATTCTTCAATTGCACCGCCTTAAGGGGCACATTCTCTCAAATCGTCGCTCTACCACCTCTCAGAAGGATATTCACGTGGAGTTACTTTTACGCGATGGCATTCGACAAAGTGTCAATAATGGCTTAATTTATAAGGCTTAAGCTAGTAAGTGACTAGGAGTGACAGACAGACTAGTGAACATCATACGAGACTACAAAAAAAATAATACTTCCGTCTATCACCAGTTACCAAATCTATCTAGAGATAGAATATTGAAACTGGCCGTAAATGGAACCTTATCCAACTCCATCATAGTGAATACCCCAGGGATCGGTATTATCCCTGGCGTTGTACTTCGTTTACACTAGTGACATCCCTAGAACCCCTCGGGTCGAGTTGGTTTTATATGCCGACGACACAGCCCTATACCCGACAGATCGTTCAAAACCAGGATTATTAGCCGTTTACCGCCAAGGTGAATGGTTTAAACAATGGTGGCAAATGATTCAGCCGACCCATTCCATGAGAAAGCAAGGCCAAATATCTATACGTTACGCTAAAAAATACTCACATTCAAATGGGACGTAAATATTGTAGCCGATAAGGCAAAGTTCGTTATGTCTCGCCTAGCACCCCTCTCCTGTCTTCATAAATAAAAAGTTATACAATTATTGACATAACGAGCGTCCGTTAAACGTGTGATGTAAGCGATTTAGAAGCGGCCAGGCTCACAAAGCACAAAGTACTTTGTAATATATGTAACTTGTAACTTAATTGTAATATATGTCACAAAGGTAATGTGTATAGAGTTGGGAGTCGGGAACCTCGCACACGCCGTTGAGAGCGCCGAGCCATGCGTGTGTTTGTTAATGTAAGTTTTGCGTGCACGTTTCGCGGTAGGCACGATGAGAGTGACCGTAGTGATTACATTCTCTTTGAGAGTAACATCGGTGAATGTTAATTTGTTCCATAAAGCCTCGTCATCCAAGACCGTGTGTTCAGAGGACGGTGGGAGTATAAAATTATTTATCGCGCGTTTATGTATCTTCCGCATCGTCTATAACATTCATAGGTCGGTGTAATCTATAACGTACGAATCAAGGCAATGATAATATATTCTGCAAAGCTTTAATCAACGGATTTGAAGGGGCAATGATTCTTTTAAAGTGCCTTTTTTTGATATTTCTCTAGGGAATGCAGACAGAATTTTTACTTTTAGATCGCGATGTAATTTGTTCCGCATATACTATGGGGCGTTGGTTGCGCGACGATGAAATCGGTTTTGGAGCACTTCTTGCGGTTTGAAGAAATTACCAGGGATAAATAAACAGCGTATTACCTTCGCAAAAAAAAATGCAATTACAGTCTGTAGTCAATATAGATAACATATATCCTAATTGTCAGCTGTCAACTTCACTCGTATGACATTCGTTCTCAGTCTCACTAGCGATCCAAATTCCAAAGCGCTGCCGACCGCCTCGGCGATTGGTTCTGCAAATGGAGAATAGAAATAAATCCCGAAAAGAGTGTGGCGATTCACTTCACACGAAGTACTTACCCGTCACATCTTTATAATGGCCGTCAATGCAGAAAGTTGGTGCAAATATCCCTTTATGGCCAACCGCTCCCCTGAGAGAAAAAGGTCAAATACTTAGGAGTCACTTTCGTATGTCATTTACTACGCACATTAATAACGTTCGCAATAGAGCCGCGTTCGTCTCCGGCAGGCTACACAATTTAACTAACGCTAAAAGTAAAATGCCCCTAAGGCACAAATTATTATTATATAAGACCTGCGTACGACCTATTATGTCTTACGCATGCATGACCTTCGCCCACACGCACCCTACTCGCTCGCTTGTACAAGTTGCAAATAGTACAAAATAAGTTCATCTGCCGCGCAACCGGTGCGCAGTGGTATCAACGCAACGTCGACCTGCACAGCGATTGCAGACTCCCGACGATTCGCGAACATTTTAAAGACCTGACCAAACGGTTCTTCGTTAGAGCCGAACATCATCCCAACCCTCGGGTGGTAAGCGCAGCAAATTACCAACCCGACACAAACGCGAACGACAACAAGCGTCGCCCGCGAAACGTCCTCATCGACCAGGTCGAGGAAGGGGACTTAGATACGCCGGACCCACCGCCGGGGGTCCCGCCAGACAACACTACACCCACAGTTAGTGCAACAACAAACACACTAGTTCGCCCTCGCCTCCGAGCACGGCGAGACCAACACAACGCGTACACAAGGTACACCCGCGTTCCGGTTTAGGTACACCAGCCACCGATTAGCTAATTGCACAGTCGACGGCCACCGGGGTTTCAGTCCGAACCGCGACCTCGATGGCCCTTAGACGACACACAGTTAAACGCACGCATGAGCACATGCGTGGCCCTACCCACAGCGGAGGGCCCAAACCCGTGGGTTCTGGCTAGCCCACCGGTTCTGCGTCAGATGAAGCTTTAATAGACTCGGGACTGAAAGCAAAAACATCAGTTAATACAACATACAAGAGACTAGCGATCAGTAGGGATGCAAAATCACTCGATACACATCGATATTAGAACATCAATATTTTAAAATATAAAAAATCGATGTTAAAATATCGAAGTTTATGAACGATATATCTATGTTTTTATCACCATTTAAATATGTTTAAAATATACCTAAAATAATAATATGCCGTTAAATTTCTACTCTGCTAGTTTATAATCTAACGTTAGTTTGAAGTTTACGAGTATACGGTGACATATACATATAAATATCGATAAGGATGCTAGACCACCCTTATCATTATCTATAACAACATGTTGACTGGATAATGGATATAGAGCAGACACCAAAGAGTACCCTGAAATCTGACAGACACCGTATGTGGGCGCCGCTAACACAGCAGTCTAGATTCTCGGACTTGTTTTTAAGTAACCTAGGATAGATAAGAAATGTGTTATAAATGTTAGTAACTATTGTCAATCTGTATTAAACTCTCACAGTTAACTCACATAGTTTTATTTAAAAAATAAAAAAAAACCTTCGGTACTATTCCTAAAGTTAAGTATATCTATTTAATATTTATTTTTGACAAAGAAGAAACAAATAAGTATAATAATCAATTATTGTATTATTGACGTTAGACTTACTTCTTTAGGCGCGTTATGAAAAAATGATTAGAGTTAAATTTTATGATGTAACACAAAGTCCCACCCGCTAATTTTTATAGGTGGCTGAATGAGCATACACCCGTTATAGTTCTGATTAAAGAATGTAGATGGCGCTTTCATAACTTTGCGCTACTTTTGATCATTTGTATGTGTAGCTATATCATATCTATATAAAATCGAGTTCACTGTTTTGCCAAGGGCAGTTTTTGAAACAATGTTTTGATGTTATTTTTCAACTTGTTTTTCTTTTGTTACGATAAAGAAGTATAACTTCTTACGTGCGTACATAAATACACACAAACTTATTTTTTTCTTTGGATTTTATGGCCCGGTATCAAGAACCTTTAGACCAATACTGTAAAATCTGATAAAAAATCGGTTTCATCCCTACCTATCAGTAGGGATGGGCAAGTAAAAAATATAACGTACTTATTGTATCGTTTTTAAAAAGTATCGATAGTTTTCGAGTGAAAAATATCGATATACCTATCAGTCAGTCTATCAGTCTTAGGGATGCCGAAAGTCTTAAAAATATCGATATATCGATATTTATAAAATATCAATATCGGCCTCGAAATATCGAAAAAAAATATCGATATATCGGTAAAATTTGCATTTAGTTCAAAAATGTATTTAGTTTGGAGATTTTTTTATAAAACGTTAATTATTTACAAGTTTTAATTAAATTTCTTTTATTAATCTAAATTTCTAGGTATGTTATATATGAAGACCTTCATTGAAAAAAAAAACAAACAGCTTATTTAGTAAGATTTCTGAAGATAAAACAGTTTCTTTAGCCCTGAATCGAATCAAAAAATAACTAATTAAAAAACATGTAACTTTGTAAAAAAACAAAGTTAATAATGGGTCAAAGAGAAACCCGCAGAGACTTGTCCTAAAAGACAGGCCTAGATCAACAGAATTTAGTAATAGTTGTTTGATTGACATGAAAATGCTGAACGACAATTTAAAGAAGTTAGTTATGTGGTTAAATGATAATAATTATTATGACGTCAAATATTTTTTTATGATAACTCGATATAATATTATGTGACATTTAGTCATTGAATTTGATTAGAATAAAATTTTTGCTAACTTAATTTACATATTAAATTAAAGTAACTTTACTTGATGCTATTAATATTTTGCATGCTATTTGTAAATTAACATAATTACGTAGTTCAATATTAAAGATTTGTGATACCTCTATACTGTTGATTGGTAATCTCAGATTATACATACTCTTTTGATGTCAACTCTGACCTATTTGATTTATGTATTTGTTTGAATTACTTTAAATTTGAAATGTTAGTTTTATTTCTTCAGACTGATTTGTGTCATATTTGATGCATTCCGTTAAAATCGTTTGGAGAAGTAACATGTATAGCTATCTGACATAACTGCTGTATTCTATATAAATTCCATAATGATTACGTTTCCCATTAGCCACATCTACCATTCAAGATATACCATGTTGTACCTAAGATATGGATAGTATGAAGTATGGAGCATCAAATTGTTGTATAAGTACCATTATTATATCACAAAATGCAACTCTGCATCTGCGACAATAATAGTAATAGACCACATTTTTCTTCCGTTCATTTTCATCTTTTACGGCTTTGAATCAGTTTAAATAAAAATATCGTTTTTGATACGATTTGATATTCAATTTCTTATATCGATATATCGGATCAAAATGTATCGGTCATAAAAGTATCGGTCTGTATTTAAAAGAAAATTATCGATATATCGATATTTTATCGGCATCCCTAATCAGTCCTATCACTACCTACTATTATCAGTTGAGTAGTTGTTCGTCGCGAATTACGTTCCATATCAATTCGTTTCGTATTTCGCACTCACTCAGCAAAGAGAATATAATCACTACGTTTGTCACTCAGTGGCTTGTATAATGTATAGCTATGCTGTTCGTGTTCGCAGATTGTATCAGAGTCAGTCCAATTGTGTTTAAGTCTTGAAGTCTTACTAAAGATTCAGTCGAATTTTTCGTGTGTAGTACAGAGGACTTGATTTTGGTGTCCGTTTTTGTGATATCTTAGTGATAAATATAAATTAAAGTTGAGCAGCAAGTTGTTTCGCTTATATTTTGTGAATCGTGTTTTGTATCGATCAGCTTTATTGGTTGGGTTTTATTTCATACCACCTATAATTTAGTAAACTTCGAAAATGAGGTTGGCGGGGACGATTTTTACTAATGTTACTAAAATGTTGGACTTTTATTCTCAATTTAATCCATCACCGCTGTCTATCAAACAGTTCATAGATTTTGGTAAGTAAACAGAACTCTTCTTATAATTAATAATATTAGGTATGTACATTAATCCAAAACATTTATTATAACATAGGTATTAAACATAATACTATGTTATAATAAGTGTGCATACCTAATATTTCGTACCAAACTTGCTGTTATGACTACACAAAGGGTAAATTTACTTTTCGATACTTATGTGATCTTATCTATTTATGTGATTTATTATAATGTTTTTGCTAGTTATAAAAGCATATTTTTTTATAAATATATACATATCTTTTTCTTACAAATGGACTAAGTATCTTACAACAAATTAGAATTTTAATAAAACATTTCATTCTTAATAGTCTTTCTAAATATTAAATTTGAAAAAGTATGTTTTGCCTCATAAAACTGTTTAAAGCACTTAGAATATTTCCTGGTACTACCAGCAAAACAATTGGTGAGTGACCTTCCCAGCAATTTAATATGTTTGATACAATATTAAATACTGTATCAAAAGTATTAAATTGCTGGAGTAAGAATATAAATATACGTACAATATTTTAATTAACTTGATGATAAGTCAATTAAAATATTGTATGATGTGTAGAGGTATCTTAATTAAGGTATATATATACATATGTGGTACTAAAGTTTTGAATTGCAAACACATAATATGTGTATTTATTTCTGATATTTATTTGTGGAACTACAGTGGCATACAAGCTCATTGTAACATTTTTCGTTTGCTAACAGTTTGATGGTGTATGCCGGTGTTTATAATTTTTATCATATAAACTTTGATAAGGAACAGTATTTTCAGTATTCTAAATTTTGTAACAGTGCAATGTTGTTCCCAATTAATCTAAATAATAGTACTCGAATGTTACAGTGATTTCTTGTATTTATCAGAATACTACACTATGAAAAATTAAATTGATTTGTTGACAGGTTGTATCAGACAGTGTAGTTGAGATAGTATACATTGCATTGTTTCAGTTTCGACTTAATATTGATCTACTACTGTTTAAATTCAAACATTTCGGTAAAGGTGCAAACCGTGACACAGGTTATAAATATTTTTATATTTATATCATAAAAAAATAATATTAAATCTTATATCGTGACGTGGGGCTCCTTTTTCGGGACGGCCATAAAAAAAACCACGAAGGCTTTAATGGGATTGGTTTTGGGTCGAACGCCAATATGGTATGGTTCCCGTTGGCCTAGAATATTGAAATTTGACAAAAAGCAAGACTTCTCGCTTACAGAACAAATAAATGAAAAATTGCGAAAAATAAAAAAAGTTGAAAATTAAGGTAAATTTTGGTACTTACAAGTTTTCGCAAAAATCTAAATTTGCCCATATATTTTTATCGTGTTGAGTCAGGACCTTGCCCATACACCTAATAGGGACTACTCGATGGCCCGTATGCGACATGCGACATGTGGCCCTACCCACTGAAGAGGGTTTTAAACCCGTGGGTTCTGGCTAGCCCACCGGTTCTGCGTTCGATGAAGCTTTAATAGTCTAAGGACTGAAAGCAACTAACATCATTTAAAATTAAAAAAAAATAGTGACTATAGACCTCAGTATCTCTACATAGTATAAAAAAGTCGTCCCGCTGTCTGTCTTTCCATATGTATTCTTTAAAACTCGCTTTAAAAATCTTTAAAACGCAACGGATCTTGATGCGTTTTTTTACTGGATATAGTGATTCAAGAGGAAAGTTTATATGTATAATACATTCCACCCGTGCGTCGCCGGGGCGAGTCGTTAGTCTGGTATAAATTTCAAAAAATTCAACTTGCAAGGTCCACCCGTGCCTGAGAAAATAGGTGGTGATAATTTATCAATTTTATTATGGCGTACGTAGTACGAGTTCGACTCGCATTGACCGGTTTTTAATATTTTCTTATAATTTTCATTTCATGTCACTGCTATGGCCTCTAATTTTTTGGCCGTCGTTAATTTGAGCCTGAAACACGGCTACAATAATTTTTAATATGACCTTGTTGAAGGTGGACGGTACGGGGTCATATTGAAATTCGGTGCTGTTCATAAAATATTAGAAGAATGTTCCATACTTAACAAGATTTCACCATCACAAGTACTAAAAAATTTAGATATAAGAAATTGATGATGATGCACTAAAAATTGTGTAAAAATTAATTCTGCTATAGCATTGTCCAGTAACGCTTGAATATATAATATATATATGAATGTTTAAACCAAAAACGTACTAAGCGCATTAAGTGTTTTGTCGATTTCTTTTGCCCGAAGTACACAATAGAAAGTGGTACTTTTGAGTACTATTTCCTCTGTTTGTGATGGTTCACGAAAGTGCACTATTGCGAATGACCCCAAATATGTACTCGTATTGCGATCTGGCGCTACGCCACATTTTACGGTCAATGTCAGACGTAAGTCGTGGATACTTATACTAGTATGACGATGGCTACGCGACGCAACCCGGTTTACGTGGTTGCTAGTGATGGGGTCAATTTTTATCCATAAAAAAATCTTTATTTATTTAAAATTCGAGATATCATAATTAATGTTATTAATAATATGTATCCCGCCGCGGGAAAAGGAGTAGGCTCTTATAACTGACATAGACCGGCTCCGTCCTATACATTATGGTTTTTATTATTTTTATTTTTGACTTTCACCCCGCCTAATGACTAATGTCGTTCCAGCGACATTAGTCCATAGTCTGTCGTCCTTCGGACTTCGTTCTCTTCTGACAAGCTTCCTGTAATCACATTCATTTCTGATTCTTTAAACCGTTCCAAAATATATTATTTATGTTGTTACTTTTTATATACGCGCTGAAGTCTTCACCTCTAACGTGGCAGCCAGCGTAGTGGCCGTGCACTGACTGGTTGCAAATGGTAGAGAGTGATTACTCCAACTTAAAAATCGCTGATGCTCACCACATCTCGAGCCTACGACCGTAACATCGTATATATAACGGCCCAGCTGCTGAGCCATCGAAATTCCAGAATCTTTATTCAATATAGAAGCATTAGTATTTACTTTGACTGTCAAAAACCGTACTACCGGCTCGGAACAAAAAACCACTAACCTGAAAAGGACCAGCGATAAAAACTCAGCGGGACAATATCTTTAAACATAATTAACTTGACAAAAAAATAACGAAAATGTATACAATATATTAAATTCCATTTGAAAGAGCCTGGAGCGATCATTTCATTTCCAGTATGTTATCATTTAAATAATCACTAATACGGTAATAACCTTTAACACAAAAAAGCTCCTTTACAAGTTTTTTTTTTGTTTACGTGTTCAGATCCTAATTAAAAACATACTGATATAGAATACTTTTATCAAATTTACTGCGCCAAGTAGCAAAACGTTCATCAAATCCGTCGCAGTCTGATTGTAACTGTCAATAATGTGAATAGAAAACATACAGCAAAAGAAAACAAGCGGTAGTGCGGAGAATATTGCTTTTAATAACTTTTTGAAATTTATACAAAGCAAAAGTTTAAACAAATCGTCATTTGGCCATCACTAAGGCCAGTTAACTATAAATAAACTTATGTATGGCGAGCCTCTTACGTACGCGATCGTTTTTAATAGAACAACACTCCTCTTCCCATTGCGTTGCCTTCCTGTTGTAAATTGTAAACTATGTTGTAAAATGGCTCCACAAGTTTTTCTAGGACCATTTTTATTTATCATTTGTGTAGTAAACGATCTTTCATTAAACTATTTCACTCATAATGGGAAGCATGTTTTGATTATTTCAGACATGCCTTGAAAGAGAGAGGGTTAATATTTTTTCCCAAAATTGTTCAGGTTTTATTAATTTTATCGAGTTTAATAATTTGTGTTATTAACTTAGACTTTACATTTATTTACGCCCGAAGCCTTGAAAATGCGGGATAACGAGTGTGGTGTGATACTCGTACGCGATTTTTATCTTTTTTTATCCCGCTGGAGAAGAACTGTATACGCATACAAATTCTTCCTGAAAACAGCAGATTTATTCATATTTTTTATTTTGTATCCAATCTACACAGTAGGTGGTTACAGTGCCGACGACTTGAAGTTGCTAGGATCTTGGCTTGATATTGTTAATTAATGGATATTATAATTTTAGTATTCTACAGTGATGGTGGATCTTATCGGTGTCTTAATTTTGACTGCCTCTTTGCAAGGATTTAGACTTTACAAAATCCGATATAATCATTCCAGTAATTTAAAATATCGGGGTAAAACTCTAGAGACGGTTTTATTTAACCTCCTGAAACATTCGTGTGAATACAGGAAACAACAATTATATATTAAAAAAACTAATCTTCTACATCATTTCCCGGTGGCAAGTAATTGAATTAACATAGCATTTGCAAGTCATGAGGAAAATAGTGCTTTATTCGATGTTAACAATCTATAATTTTGCATTGTGTTGTTTTAAAACGTAAACAACGTTTGAGTTATTGTGTATTCTATGTTCACGACCTTCGCTATACCAATATTTTATGTATGGAACATATTAATTGAAGTAAATCTGCTAAATGTTCGACACCATATTAATTTTAAATGATCCATAAGTAATTCCCGTGTTACGAAGCACTATTTTCTAATTTGCATACGACATAAATAAAAAAAATATATTAATATTTACATAAATAATTACATACGAGTAACCACTTTATTAAAAAAAATACTCAGCGAAATATTTTTTCCTTGTTTGTTTGCCATTAATGGGGTCCCTGGAGTTATCAATAACAACTCCATGCTCCAAACAAATTCGCACCTTCGAAACACTGCGTATCACTGCGACGTATCAGATAATGCAAGCGTTTGAAAATATTCGGCTGTTGCCAGCCATTTATTTAATCAATGTCGCCGAGGATACCGTTTCTTGATAGTTCTCGAATGTACTATTTGAGGACGCTTTCATTTAGCGTCACCTGTGTGCAATGTATTAAAGTGTGTATGAATGTAGGTAATTGAAAGTTTCAATTCAGCTTTCGTCCACTTCCACAGATCTGAATGTTTT